CAAAACCTGTGAGAGTGACCGAAGGGAGGAGGGACCCCACAGTCCTGTCGAGGGCCATACTCAGCAGCAGAAGACCTTGCATTTGGAAAAACTTCCTGAACATAAAAATTGCGGGAAGAACTCACACAGAAAGACAGCCTCTGTTATACACGAGGCAGTTCACATGGGACAGGAGCCCTCTCAGGATAGTAAATGCATGCAAGCCACTGCTCACAAGATCAGGTTCCAGTCTTTTCTAAGAACCCTTAGAGAAAGGAAGACACAAGAGGCCAGCAAATGTGGGAAATCCTCATGCGTGAAGTCAAAACATGAACATCCAAGAGCTCATATAAGAGAAAAACACTGTGACTGTGATATGCTTGAGAAAGCCTTTAGTGAGAAATCAGGTCTTACCAGACAGGGGAGAATGCAACCAGGAGGAAAGCCTGATGGATGTAATGTAAGTAAGAGAGCCTTAAGAAACTCACCCCACATCCAAAATGAGAAAATTCATGTGGGAGAAAAGACCCATGGCTGTGGGAAATGTGGGGAAACCCTTTACAGAAAGCCATGCCTTACTCAGAACCAGACAACTTGCACAAAAGAAAAACCTAAGTGTACCGACAGCCAAACAGCCTTAAAGAAGTCGTGTCTGACCCTAAATCAGAGAACTAGCTCAAGAGGAAAAAGCTGCAAAGGAAATGAGTGTGAGAAATCCCCAGCCCCCTCCCTCAAGGGATCGAAAAGCGCTCGACATCAGAGACTGTCCATGGAGGAGAAACCTGATGAGAGTGAAGAAGGTGAGAAGTCACCCCTTGGTGAAAATCAGAGTGCTTGCAAAGAACAGAAAGCCTGTGAGTGTCGCAAATGTGAGGAAGGCTGTCCCAAGAAAGCGGGTCTTACTCAACATCAGAGCTCAAACCCGGAGAAAAAACCTTATGCGTGCAAGGAATGTGACAAATCCTTCATGGTGAAGTCAAACCTCACTGAACACCAGAGAACTCACACTGGAGAAAAACCATATGAATGCAAAGAGTGTGGGAAGTCATTCTGCCAAAAATCTGCCCTCAAAGTACACCAGAGAACTCACACAGGAGAGAAACCATATAAATGCAATGAATGTGGGAAAACCTTCTGTGTGAAATCGAACCTTACGCAGCACCAAAGGACCCACACAGGAGAGAAGCCGTACAAATGCAGTGAGTGCTGGAGATCCTTCTGTGTCAAGTCCAACCTTGTTGTGCATCAGAGAACTCACACAGGAGAAAAACCCTACAAATGTCCCGAGTGTGAGAAAACCTTCTACGAGAAATCTGCCCTCACAAAACATCAGCGGATCCACACAGGGGAAAAACCCTATAAATGTAATGAATGCAAGAAAAACTTTAGCCAGAGGTCAGCCCTCACCAAGCATCAGAGAAAAACACACAAGAAGAAAGCATCCACCAGTAGCCTTCATGGGCAGATACCAGAATCAACAAGCAAAGCTCATTGAACATCAACAAAATCCAAGAGTGGGCATGCTACCATGACAACGAGTGTAGGAAAGTATTCCCTAACAGGTTATTGGGAAAAGAAACTAGAGATTTAATGTAGGATTGAAAACATAACAATGTTTCAAACATGTGAATACTTCCAACAGGTATTTGATGTTGTTGATGGAAAAATATATAATTTTAATGAATATGGAGAAAAATGTCCTTGTGGAAATATTGTTTAGCTAGAAGTTATATTTCAGATATGATGTGAAACTCATTACATGACAGATAACAGAACGCCATCTGTTCGTAACAGAAAATGAAATATGGATCTTTCATAACAAGGATAATTTAGGTTGCTGATTCAGTTGTAATAAACAGCCATCTTTTGCCTACCCATCTTGATTTTCTTCACCATAGTCTCTCCTCTGCTTCTTAGAAGTTGATTTAATTTTTTCCATAGTAAAGAGGACACTGACCAAGAAAAAAGATCACAGTGGAAAAGACCAAAAAAACAAAACAAAACAAACAAACAAACAAAAAACGTACAGGAATCTAAGCATTGGAAGTGAAACGATGCCAGGAACAGCTAACGGAAGCAGCATGAACAAGAAATCTCTATGTTAAAGATGGGGTCATTGAATGCTGAGTTAAAAACTATGTCCAGGGCCAGCAAGTTGGCTCAGTAGTAAAGGCTCTTGCTACACAAGCCTGATGACCCAAGTTTGACTCCTGGAAGCCATGTAAAGGTGGAATGAGGGAACTGACTCCACACAGTTGTCCTCTGACCCCAAACATGCATTGTGCCACACACATGTTCACACACACACACACACACACACACACACACACACACAATAAAATTTCAACAACAACAACAATAACAGAAACACTAGATCTAGCAACAGGTGGTTTGTAAAAGAGAAGAAGGGGAGAGGAGGAAGAAGAAAGAAATTTAAAGTCAGTTGAAAAGGGAATTTGAAAGTTAAAAGGTAACAACTATATGTATTTTTAAATCTATCCAATAAAGTGTGACTTTGTAATGGTGAGTTTTGTGATTATGTTATTGAATTCAACTTCTTTGGAATTTTGTCTAGGGGGAAGGTGAACTTTTAAACATCCTATTCATGACCTGGGTGCAGGCCTTTAATCCCAGCACTTCAGAGGCAGAGGCAGGTGAACCTTATGAACTTGAGGCTAGCCTGGTCTACAGAGTGAGTTCCAGACCAGTCAGGGCTATGTAGAGAGACCTTGTCACAAAACAAAACAAAACAAAACAGCAACAACAATAACAACAACAAAAACCTGGTTTTAAGTTTGTAGGGATGATGATCAGGGTACCAAGAGTGGTAGCATCTTTGACCATTTATCTGGACACGACATCTGCAGAGACTAAAGATGATAGATATGGGATGTAGAGTCATCCCAGGTGGAGAGAGAGCACACATCTCCAGAGAAAGTTGAGATTGGGGTTTCCTCAACCTCCTGCCTCTACTGTGCTCATAGGCACCTGACATGATGGCTATTTCATTTATTTATTTCTTCTTTTTTCATACGTGTGTAGGAATGTTTTGCATGTGTGTGAGTACATGTATGTGGGAATGGGGATGCACATATATGCCCTGTGCATGTGGAGGCCTGCAGTTAATGTCAGAAATCATCCTGGATTGCTCTTCCATCTTACTCACTGAGACAAGGCCACTCAGTCAAGCACAGAGCTCACTGATGTGGTTAGTCTCGCCTCTCATCTTGCTCTGGTAAACCATTGTCTCCTTTGAAGGTTGGAATTATAACCCACCACCCCCCTCTGCCCCCGCCAACACACACACCTGACACAGGGGTTCTGGGGATCCAAAACCAAGTCCTCCTCCTAAAACACTGAGACTTTAACTGCTGAACCATCTCCCCAGCCCCACAAGCTGTGTGGAGCTATAATTGTCTGAAAAATAAAAGTCTGGCTTTTAAAAGGAATAGACACACTTTGCAGAATGGCGTCTCCTTTCCAGAGAGAGGAGAGGAAAGACCTAAGCCCTCGGAGCTCCTCCGAGGCTCTAGCCCCACCACGTGTGTGCTGGCACAACTTCCCTTTCCAGAGCTTTGTCCCACTCTTCATGTTAAGGCTTGACAAGGTCTGTTTAGAGAAACAAGTTCTGTGACAACCCATGCCCTCAGAGAACTCGGTCATCTTCGGGATTATTTTCTCCTCATCTACCTCCTCCTTTTTCATGCTAAAGCCAAGTGTGAGGTAGTCAGTACACAGAGTGCAGAGAGGGAAGTGGTAGAGAGCGTACGTCTTCTCCATCCGACTTTGGTGTGTCCTATCTGGTCTCCAGGTCCTCTGGCTGCCAGTGCATAGAGCTCACTGGCTGCAGGCACAGATGTCATATGGGGTTTCTATGAATGGGGTGGGGTGGGGACAACTTGGGGCACTGACTGGTGGCTTTAGCTCTTACTTATCTTAGGCCATTTGGTGCAGCCCTAACAGTATCCGAGGCTGATCAGTTTACAGTGAAGATGATTTTATTTCTCAGAGTTATGGAAGCTAAGTCTAAGACCGGGGGCCAGAATCTGGTGAGAACGTGTTTCACCTCCTAGCAGTAGACAGTAGAAGGGAGAGTGAAAGGGGAGGTTAGGCTGGAGACAAAGCAAAACCCCAGGCTTTTGTTACTTGTTAATCTAGCCCTTATTTCCAGAACACGGCCCCCTTGCATCAGATTAACTTTCCAACACAAGGTTTTGGGGAACACAGTCAAACCCTAGCAATGTTGGATCTGGGAGTCACACAAATATCGAGGATGAGCCCACCAAAATTAGATGAGCAGAAGCAATTTTATTCCATCACCATGGGGTACCAGAACTTCTAACTAGTTACGACCATAGACCGGTCGGGATCTGGCACTGTGACCCTGAACAGAAGGAGCAGGTCCTTTTTAAAGCAAAAGCCACAAGTGGGGTGGGGTGTCGGGGGTGACATAAGAAAAAGAATTTTTACAATTTGAGGTTAAGTCCTGGGTGAAGGTACATTCCGGGAATTTACAGCTGGTGATAACATTTTACAATTAGTAGTACAATTTGTGATAACAAGGTGTTTGTACAAGCGTAACAGGGGTTTGTAGAAGCTTGTTTACACATCCGTGGTTATGTTGGCGCAGCTCTTGACACAGCTGGGGTCTTGTCTTTATTTTGAACCAATGTCCTCCCTATGATTGAGAATATAGGGCAAGGTCAAGTAATGGAAGAAACTGGGTAGGTGGGCCAACATCCAGACTTACTCTGGGCCCTTCAGCAACCCTCTAGGCTGATGACACAGCCACATCATCCATGATCTATATCATCCATTATCTACTATCAAGACTGTCCCTGCTGCGTCCCCACCACACATAACTCATCAAACAATATAAATCAGCCAGCTTCCCTATTCTTTTCCATGTTCCCTTTAAATGTTTACTGCTATGCTCATTCTCCTCCTGGGCCCAGGAGGAAACCTCAGGAGCCATTGCGAGGAGGCAATAAATAACCAGCAATAAATGGCTGGCTGGGTAAGTGACTGCTTAGGTGAGGAAATGCCAGCAAACTGCTGAGGAGTGCTGCTCGGGGCTGTGGGTGATGGCTTCTTTAGTCCTTGGTGCATATCTCTGAGTCCTTCACCTTGGGATCCCTAGTTTCGGGGTAGTGAAACAGCTGGGAAGAGCTACCTGAGTTCAGGGGACCGGAAGGACCTTGAATCATATCCTGCTTGCTGAGGCTCGGAATGACAGACGGCCTCTCTCAGCCATCATCCATTTGGGGCGCTCATAGAGCTACGGCAGAATCAGCTGGCCACCCTCTGAAGTTGAGTGCCTCCCCAACATAGTGTTGGTCCCAAAATAGAAGGTGGGCTCCTTCGGAAAAATCAACCCCTCTGAGATCGATGAGGTCTCCTGGGTCCTCACATCTAGTTTAACCTTCCCTGGGTGTGTCATCCTCCTGAGAAGTCACAGGGGGATTCCTGCTACCCCACCCCACCCTAGTAGTTCTCCATCTCTGAGGAACAGTCTCCGGCAGCAAACCTGTGTAGACAGGGCTTGACCAAAGTCATTCTCATCCCCCTCTCCAGCTTCTAGAATAGGGACATTGAAAGGTAGCAGTCCCCTAAATGTCCCCAGCTTCTTCCATGAAGCCACTCCTGCCTACCTCCGGTCTTCTGTTCTGCCTCGGGGCCTAAGAAGGTGGCTTCCTCTAAAGCCCATAAAAACAGACTGGGGTTGGGGGGCGGGGTGGAGGTAGAATTTGGGGCTGAGAGAGCACTGACCCTCAACCCCAAGGTTGCCACTGACCACGATGTGGTTCTGAATGTCATAAGGCCTCAGTGGACACCAGACCCAAACCTGACTCCCAACACATGGCTGGTGAGGCTAAGGCGATATGTAAACGAAGGGGCTACCCTTGACTTCCTGGAGGACGTTCCCACAGCTCACAGCAGAGGGCTCTGGTCACAAATGTAAAGACTGAAAGCTCTCTGCCCACGCCCGTCATCTCGGCACCCCTCCCCCCTTTCATTAATCTATTATACAACAGTGCGCAGTGCTGAGGAGACAATCCCAGAGACTTACTTGTGCCACTACACGGGTAATTAAATTGTGTAGATTTACATTTTAATTACATACTGCTTTGTTCCTGCTTCTTTTTTTTCTGAAGGATAACACATGTATCCCCAGGAGTCAATGACACCCTCAATGGGGTGAAACTTTGTTCTTCTATTACACACACACACACACACACACACACACACACACACACACAAAACCTTAGCTATCATATCAGTTTGATATGTAAAAAAAATGCGTATACAACACAAGTATATAAATGCACAACATATTTGTGATGTTATAATTCCACCGAAAAGGGATCAATTAAGAGAAAAATACCTAAAAAGGCTCTCTTGGGGAGCCATAATTCTAAAAATAAAAGTTGTGAAACAGCGAATGAAGGAGGGAGAGTAGATTAAGGAAAGATGACGTCACTGCGGCATGCCGGAAGTTACGGGTTTTTAATAAATTCTAGAATCTGGGGTGTACCATGCTGCTGCCCAGCCTCAGCAGTGTGTGACTGGAGACGCTGTTGTTGCTCGGTATGGGCCCACCAGAAAAAGAGAAACTTCGGTGTTCCACTACTGTCCCCAAGTGTCCTCTGGCTCCTTCGGCATGCCCACCCTCCTATTCCCTAGCAGCTGCAGACCCGCAGGGGCCCTAGACCAGTTTTTACTTCTAACTGAGTACATAGATATGGAAATCATGGCTTCTTACTCTTCCTTGTCTGGCCTCCTCCAGACAGTGGCTGTAGCTATGGTGTAAGTGGGCCCAGCTGCCGCCTGAGCTGGCAGCCCATCTTGGCATTGTTCACAGGATATTTGCTAGGCAGGTGTGTAGAGTGCATGAGCTGTGGGGCCCTAGAGACTTCCACATAGATGTCAAAGGAAAAGTTATGTAGTGTGTGGCCAGGTCAGAATCCCTGGAGGCAACCCTGAGAGTGCAATGTAAGAGGCTGCCGGGAGGGGGCGTTAAGCCAAACTGCACTGGAGATCCCAGGGAGTTAGAGACGCCAGGAGCGTGAACATCTGCCAAGGAAAGCTACGGGCTGCAAGCTGAGTCAGCCTGAGACACTGCGAGAACTACAGCCGGAAAGCTGTATGGCAGACTTTTCAAGACGTTGGAGGCTCCACCCCACCATGTGACTCTTCAGAGGCCTATATCCCACCGACATGACCCAGAAGCCAAACACCGAGCAACGGGATCGAATGTTTGCCCACCCCACCCCCCGAGTTCCAGTCCTGCTTTGGTCCCCTCTCTCTTCCATGCCTGCAATCCTCCTTTTCCCAACGGCAGTGATCAGCCCACGCCTCTCCCACCACTGTGTGTAACTTCAGTTTGGAACTTCACAGGGCCTCACAGTTAAGAGTCAGCCTCGAGTTTCCGCAGAGTCTTCAGACTTGGGCTTTTGAGCAATCTGAGCCCATTGAGATGCTGTGGTGGTTTAACCGAGAATGGCCTCCACGGGCTCACAT